AGTCATCTCGACGCACTAGGTCGGGGACCCTGTTGAGTCCTTCGTACCGGAATCGAGGGATAGAGAGAAACGAGTTTACATGACGAAGGTCTAATATGAGTCGTTTCTTCGAAGGTTGGACAACCACATTAAGTGGGCTAACGCATGTGAGCGGCGCATCGACAGGGACGAGACGAGCTGCTCCGGTAGCAATTAGGTCGGCCACGGCCTCAACTGCAAATGCCGAGTGTTGCAACGCGCCCGAGTGGTTCGGGGCGTGGTGAGGGGTAGGCTCGTTTGATCGCCACGGCAGCCGATAACCTGATGCTAGACGGATAAGATGAAGCGACTCGTGCACCAAGAATTCCACCATGTGGAGCGATCGCGCAAGCGTCCTCGCATGTGCTGCACAGTGGCACGTGGCTCGTCCATGTCGGGTATGAAGCCAAAATCTGGTGGGGCGTGGACAGGGATGCGAGTAAGACCACGATAGTGAGTCAAGCATGACAATATCAAACGATGTCATCGTAACGAACAATGCAACGACACCGCGGCGCAAAAGCGTAGCCGAAGAATGAAGGCTCTCATGTCAGGCAATGCCTAGTACGATGGTTTCTATTAAAATATCTCTTGTTTAGATTCATGTTGCTCTTGTTGTGTGTATGTATTATAAACTCTCTCTCTTTCTCTCTCTCTCTCTCTCTCTCTCTCTCTCTCTCTCTCTCTCTCTCTCTCTCTCTCTCTCTCTCTCTCTCTCTCTCTCTCTCTCTCTCTCTAATGGTCCGTATATTGATAAGCCAGAAGGGTACACACATGCAATGAGAGGCAGCAGGTACTAACATGCAAGGTCGCCTAGACTATCCAACCCCACTAAGTCACCTAGAGCTCCAGAAGAGGCTCTAGGACGGTAAAGCAGTCCCCTAGGTACAATTCTTGCCCTATCCCTCCTACAGGCGGGTTCTCTGCAGCTGCCGCCTCTCCTAACTTGATCATGAGTCCCACGGATTGGGCCAGTGGGGCAAACCACCTCTCCCTCTCTCTCTCTCTCTCTCTCTCTCTCTCTCTCTCTCTCTCTCTCTCTCTCTCTCTCTCTCTCTCTCTCTCTCTCTCTCTCTCTCTCTCTCTCTCTCTCTCTCTCTCTCTCTCTCTCTCTCTCTCTCTCTCTCTCTCTCTCTCTCTCTCTCTCTCTCTCTCTCTCTCTCTCTCTCTCTCTCTCTCTCTCTCTAACGGAGGAACCAATTGAGGTTCTGCAATATATCCACTCCGTGTATGAGGGGAACATATTATAACATAGATAAGTATATATCCTCTCTTGCAATGGTGCAACAAGCCCATTATCTAAAATACTCTTTTTTTTTTGTAACATTTATGTCAAATAATCATTTATAGATAATAAATATAACAAGCACCTATTCTAAACAATCTTAGCAGGCTGGTTAGCCCCTTGGCCCCGCTGCGGGCAATCGGCTATTCCGTGGCCGGGCTCGCGGCAATAGAAGCAACGCCCATCGCCATCCCTACGCCAAGTCCAATGGCGTTCCCCTTGGCCTCGATTGCGAGGAGCGGGATTGTGGCGAGTCGAGGTGGTGGGCCTGTGCGGCCTCTTTTTGCTAGCCGCCACGATCTGAGTAGCGGCCTTAACGTTTTTGTCCTCCACCACCTCGCCGTACTTAATCTTTAAAGCCATATTGGCTACTTCGAAGCCGCGCTGATCCGCGGTGAATAGGAAATGAATATTTTCTTCGGCTTCATCAATGATTTGCTGAAGGTAATCAGCAAGTTGCTCGCCGCCTTGAGACGGTAGGATAGAAAAAGCATGGCGTGCAATTGCTTGAATGCGTTCGAAACTAAATAATTGAGTGCGAATGCCGTCGCTTTTGACGAGAGATGAGCGCAACTGAGGACGAGCAGGCGGTATAGGAGCGAGATTAAGTGGTGCTGGGGCCTTAGGACGAGCGGGATTACCTTCGTCGAGGTTCTCGAAATTATTCTGATCGCCGTCGTCGACGCCCTCGGGATCAAGAGGGGGAGGAGGAGCGCGGGAACGAGGTGCCGCTGGAGCTGCCGGGCGCACAGGATCTACCGCTGCTGCAGGATCTCCGTTGTTGCCGCGTTGAAGCGCCGCGAGGAGGCCGATCGCATGGCGAATTGCATCATTATTATCCGCTGCCGCTCCAATGTTTATGTCCGTATATCGCGCCGAGTTATTCTCGGCTGCACGGCGTCCTGTAGAAGCGCTGGATCTCGCTATACCGCGGTCGCCGGCTGTTTCAGTGAAGATTCGCCGCAGGTTTTGTTGACTCGCGGGGTCAAGGCGAGCAATGATTTCGGCGATTTCCGAAATCCCCGCTGCCTGATTTTGCGGATCCTGCTGCTCGCCCTGATTCGCGCGTCGATTTGCTGAATCGGGCCGGCGATCCACTCGTGCAGGGTCCAGATTCTGTCTCGGCCCACGTGCGGGATCCCGCTCGCGATTTGCCCGAGCAGAATCGCGCTCGCGATCTGCACGAGCAGAATCGCGAGGAATGCGATCTGCACGTGCAGATTCGCGATTCTCGCGATCTGCTTGTGCAGAACCGCCATCATTGCGGTCCTGCGCCTGCACTGTAGGAGCCTGTCGAGCTGGGGCGTTTTCGCCGGGCTGGGACGGGTCGACGGTTCCACGCGAAATTCGCCCTTCGCCGTGAAATCCGGGGGGGCCGCGCTCGTTACCGCCATTGCGACCAGGTCCGTCGGCGACCATTTCGGGAGCAGAAACAGGGGGTTGCCTCGCATTCAACAGCTCCAATGCGAAATAAAGTCGTGGTTCCGTTGTTCCGACGCGGAGATCACAAACGATCACGCTGGGAGGAGGACCCGCAATCCTCGTCCCTTTGCGGGGACCCACGCCTGCCGCTGCTGCGCGTAACCATTCTTGGAGCGGGAAGGCGACCAGTTACTGCGGAAACAAAGCCAGTAGCCATTGCAGAAAGTCTCACGTTGACCACGTCGTTGATGAGATTGCTCCTATGCCTATTTCTAGGCATAGAAGGGGTTTAGGGGGTGTGCTGGTGGTAAGCAAATGAAGATCTGAAAAATGCTAATGAGACTAGGTGGCAGGTCTGTGGACCTGCGGGGATGTAAAGGAGGTTGTCTCCTTTACTGCAAACTCCTCTACAAGTGAAACTTAAAATTTTACATATTGTAGAAGATATGGTAATTATGTAGTTTAACGAAGAGTATCAAGAAAGCATTCACCCGAATAAGGTTTGGGGGTTACCACGACTCAACTCTGTCAGCCTTGGACGTGTTGACAGAGTTACCCGCATGGGTCGAGCTCTGTGTCCGCGTAATCGGGCGGCCACGAGGACTTTATCAACATGGCTTATCGAGAGTTGCTCAAATTATCTTACTTTGTTGTTCCTGACAGTATACCACGATCAGCAGCCCTAAGGAGCAGCCAACCTTGGTACGCTGACTACCCATGTCTCAGTGTGCAGATCAGTGACAAGTGAACAGCTAGATCAGTGCGCATGGGGTCGTAGCCAAGGTGCACTTGCACTTTTCGACTTCTACATGACTTGGTGCTGAGCCAAAATGCCCCACAACACCGTGCCTGGATCACTAGTATTCTGGTCATGACATGTAATGCTTTCCGCATTCATTTTGATGTTTCGCACACGGGTACCCTTTCCTGCGAACTATTGGACAGCAAGCGCGCTAGTGTAACACTGGTTCCTGCAGCGCGCACGCAAGCATAAAACTGTTCCCGCTCCACGCCTGTCAGTGGAGCCTGTCTACTCACATTGCAGCGGCTTCCCTCTTAGCTTGCAGTGGCTTTCCATGGCGAACGACTCTGCTCTTCACTCTCTTCGCTTCCCTTTAGCTGTCTCTAGTGCATTCCACCACAGCATCCTTCTCGAATATTCCCAATTCTTCCCAACCCACCCCTACCCCTCCAACCTCCCTTCACTTCCATCCCCTTCCCTCTCTCCCTTACAAATTTACCATCCCCTCTCAACTAGTCCTTCACAAATCGGTCTTGGTAATGTTCCATGGCTTATCGGAGTCCACGGCTCGCGCTGTTGTGACTAAGCCTTATTCGCACTTCAAGTGACAAGAAGAATGACTACAGATTGCTTAACAAGTTCCTTCATACAAAAAGTACACAAGAACAGTTACCACTTACAACTAGGAACATTTATAAGGCGGGTGCTACCGTGATCAGGATTATCGTAGTAGCATTATTGGGTTCTTATCCTAGCAAGCGGCTACTTTATAGTTCTAAACCTGCCGATCAATAGTTCCTCGCCGCCGGGGTCAGGGAGCAAACTATATACGTTTTTGCGATTCCTCGTACATCGTCAAGAGCGTTAGAACTTGCTCTGGTCGCGACGTTTCTCGGATGGATGCTATGTATCATGGTGGGGAAATGACCATCGTAGAGAAGTAAGTGGAGGAGTTACTAGAATAGTAGATCAGATATAGCATGTCATGTCTATTTCTCGTCTACTAATTCTCCCATTTGTTGGTAGCTTCTGTAGTGTTATACAAAATCGTGTTCTTGACGTGAGTGATTGATTTCCCAACAATAAGCATGTCATGCGGGAGCTACCAAATGTACAAAACAATCAGATTGAGGTTGCTGCGAGCCAACTGGATTCTCCTGAATGCTCCTACGTCTCAGCTCAATAATTCACCAGGTTCCCAATGCATCATCCTGTCAACTTTGACACAGATTCATGACGGCAGCCGTGAGCTTTCCCATTATCGAATTGTACCACGTCGAGCGAACCTCAAACGGTGCTCTCTCCCATGTCCGTTTCTCCTCCACTAGTCTTCGCTATCAACTTATCTTTTCCTTTTATATGTCTCCTTTTGTTCTCTAGTGCAGGCCAGTCGTCGGCAGTAGCCTCACGAGCGAGTTGTACCACGTGGAGCATTACCCTGCTTCTCCCCTGCACTATGTACTAAACTCAACTTTTGTGTCTATTTGTCTGTCCACTTTGCCCACCTAGATATGAAAGGGAAGATCCGAGTGTATGGCCCTTGTGATGGTCCGTATCCCCCCTTCGTCTCCTTTCCCCATCCTCAGCCTTGTCCCTTCTTTGCACTCCTCTTTCAAGAGCCGATCTTTATCCTTGTCATCACTGCCCTTTCTTCCCTTTCCCGCCTCCCCTTCCCATGCATCTAGACATGAAGGGAAAGATCTAGGTGTATGCACAATGGCGGCCGCTGAGCAGCAAGGAGCAGGGCGAGGGGAAGCGCATGGTGCTGGAGATGGCGTGCGAATTCACGCTGCAGCACCGGGCTGCTCAATTCGTATCAATTTGACCATGTGTTCGACCACACCACCAGTCAAGAGGCCGTTTTTGAGGACACACGGGCAAGTGGGCTGCATTGGAATTGACTATTGAGCGGCGTAAAGGGGGGGATTCGGTTGATTGTCTGCATCTGCCATTGTTGGAAAGGAGGCGACAGAGCAGCACCGAACACACCTGCTACAGGTGTACTATAGAAACACACATTGTCACGTCTTATCCCTGTGGACCCCAGCCCCCTTGTTCCCATGTTTAATCTTCTTTCCCTGTGCGCTCCCCCTTTCCCCTCGTTATAGTACCTCATCTGCTCAGCCATGGACAGGCACAACGTGAGCATCATCTGATTAGCTTCTTTCTCTATCCTCCTGCCCCTCAATCTACCTGCTCCTTGCCCTCCACCTCGCCACCCACTCTGGAGTTCTTGAACCAGTCGGTCATTGATGATCACAAGCATCTCCTTGTCAAAGCGCCCCTCAGATTCTCACCCTATGGAGCCCTACCCGCTGGCCGTTGCCCTCTTCTCCATTCCCCTCCTTCCCCTCCTTATAGTACCTGATCTAGGCATCTATTGATGGCTACAACGTGTGCATTTTCGTGTATGGGCAGACGGGCAGCGGGAAGACTCACACCATCTACAGCGGGGATCAGAACTCCGGGCTCACGCTGCGCATCATGCAGGAGCTCTTCAATGGGCTGAGGTAGTTGGCCGGACACATGAACTACAAGCTATAGGTACGGAGAATGATGGGGAAGAGGCAGGGAGCTACAAGCTGCAGGTGGGGGGACTATTTGCTTTGCGTGGTGGACGTTTGCTCTTCGTTTTCCCACTTCTATTTTGCCTTGCATTGCTCTTTGTTTTCCCACTTCTTTTCCGTCTTGCATTGCTTTTCGTTTTCCCACTTCTAGTGTGCCTTGCATTGCCCTTTGTTCTCCCACCTCTGTTCTACCTTACATTGCTCTTCGTTTTCCCACTTCTGTTGTGCCTTCCATTGCTCTTTGTTTTCCCACTTCTATTCTGCCTTGCATTTTTCTTCGGTGTCCCCTCTTCCATTTTGCCATTTATTGCTCTTCAGTGTCCCCTCTTCTGTTCTGCCCTTTCTTGCTCTTCGTTTTCCCCTCTTGTATTCTGCCCTTTCTTGATCATTGTTTTCCCCTCTTCTGTTCTGCCCTATATTGCTGTTTGGTTACCCCTCTAGCTGTTTTGCCCAGTATTGTTGGAGCATCACCAGAAACTGCTGTTGCTGCTGCTGCTGAGTCTGTCTAAAAGGGTCCCCTCAAATTCCGTCCCTCACCCTTACTAGGTTTCCTTCTTCATGCTGTTTATGCAGGGGTACATGCTAGAGCTGTACCAGGACACGTTGTAGGACCTGCTGCTCCCCAAGAATGCCATTAAGAGAAAGTTGGAGATGAAGAAGGACGTCCAGGTACATGTACTATGTAGCATACATGTGACTGTATCATGTTTCATACTGTGACTATATTATGCTGAGAAGGGACGTGCTCAAAAGTGTCGATTGAAGTAATAATTGGCACTTGAGTTACTTTCGCTATGCCTTTGCTATTGATGCTCCTCTTTCAGCCCCTTGAACAAGCTTGCAAGTCTCTAGTCAGTTAAGCTGACACATGAAAAGATGGGTAATTGCTACTCGGCTCCTTCAGAACTGCTCTATTCTCAGCCATATCTTTGTGCTGTGCTTATTCTCCCCTTTCCAGGGCATGGTCGTCGTGGAGAATGCCACATTAATCGAGGTGCAGTACCTATCGCAATTGGAGACAATGGTGTCGGGGGGCATGGAGAGGCGCACTGTGGTTGCACCGCCCTGCGCCACTCTCAACCGCCCTACACCCTGTCCAAATCCCCGAGTTGTACTTCCCTCCCCAGGGCATGTTGGTGGTCAAGAATGCAACTCTAATTGAGTTGCAATATTTGTCGCAACTGCAGGCAGTGGTGCAGGTGAGCATGGAGATGCATGATGTAGCTAGCAAGCAAATGAACGTCGAGAGCTCTCGGTCGAACCTGGTTATGTCGATCGTGAACGAGACAACTGACCTGTAGACCCAAAGTGTGTGCCGGGTAAAGGTGTGAGGGGGTGCGGGGGGGGGGGAGTGGGAGTGGGAGTGGATAATTGAGTGTTTGAAAGTCAGCGCATCCAGATTATGAGCTTCTTTTGTGCTTGTATTCTGGTTTACTCACAATCCATCTCTCCCTTAGCTTGTTTTGCTAAATGATCCCTAACAGCACTCTCATCAAAAGCACCGCCTTTCACCTCCGCTGGCAGGGTATGCAGGCTAAAGAAGGCCATCTATGGCCTGAATCAGGCTCCTCGTGGATGGTATCACAAACTAGAGAAGACTCTACTGGCTAGGGGATTCAAGGAGAGTGAGTGTGACCACAACATGTTTCTACTACAAAGAAGGATCAGTTCTTCCTGCTCTTGGTGTATGTGGACGGCATCCTTCCCCTTTTAAGGAGATGCTGGAGATGCAATTCAAGTGCTCTAAGGGGAGGGGATCGGATTAGGACAGAATGACCCGACAGTTATCTTCTGTGACAACGAGACAGCTGTGAAACTGGCAAAGAATGCTTGTTGTGCTGCGGAGATAACTCTAGCAACGGGAGCTTGACTGCGGGGAAGGCACGTGTGTGAGAGGGATCTCTGCGTTCGTTCGTTCCTTAGTCGTTTCCTTGTGTGCACACTACTTGCTAGTTCACAGGGAGAATTGGCAAGAGTTTCACTAGGAAAGCATCACAATGATAGTTCAAAATGATGGCAACAACGTTGGCAACAAAGGCTTCATCAGAGCTAGCTAGGCTGCTGGTCGACCTCCAGCGCAGCACGGTCGACCGCGTTCCAGCGCAGCAATGCTCGCACCGCTCCAGCGCTGCAGAGATGCGGCGCGCCAACGTTGCATGTCCACGGTGTGCCAACGCTGCAGCAAGTCGGCTGCACAGCATTGCACCCGCAGGACAACAGTGCACCTGCTTCGCAGGTGTGCGCGGCTGGTTGGCGTCCAAATCCTCATCACGTGCCCAGCGAAGACATCCCCGCCCGTGACGCTGCCCATCAGCCACTTCGACCTCGGAATCCCACCCCTGAGGTCGTCCTCGCAAAACCCCCCCGGCGACCTTCGCACACGTCGCCCGGGTATCCCAGTCGATCGGGCAACCCCGCCTGGTCGTCCAGCCCAGTCGGACGCCGGCTACATCAATTCCGGCGTCCCAAGGTCGGTGTCATGGCGTCCAGGTCGGCGTCCACTCGCCCAGGACGCCGTCCAGGCGCCCAAGTCGGTGTCCGGGCGCCCGGGACGCCGAGCAAGCGCCCAGGTCGGCGTCCAGCCTCCCAGGACGCCGAGCAGACGCCCAGAACGGCGTCCAGGCGCCCAGGACGCCGAGCAGACGCCCAGAATGGCGTCCAGGCGCCAAGGACGCCGAGAATACGCCCAGGACGACGTCCAGACGCCAAGGACGACGTCCACCTGCTCGGCGCCCTATAGCCAGGCGCCCCCCAACACAACGCCCTTGCAGTGGCCCCCGTGCCCACTGCCACAGGTCGGTTGCATCTCCCCGTACACCCGACCACGAGGTCGGCTCCGCCCAAGCGAGGACGGGGCCGAACACAACTCCCGTTGACATTTGCATGGGTTGACGAAGTACATCAAGCCTAAGTGGCACTGGTCGAGGAGGCTTCTGGACAAGGAGGTGCGGTTGGAGATAGTGAAGACCCAACAACACGCAGCTGACATTTTTACCAAGCGCCTGCCTGAACCTGAGCATTGGAAGGGCATGAAGCTAGTTAGAATGAGAGTGCATTGAGGTTGCATGCATGAACTGAGGCATGTGGGATGATGGTTGACAGAGGGGGAGTTTGTTGTGTGATGCTATCATTCGCATTCACGTCTGTCTGCCTCCCATCATATATTTCTACCTTGCATGCATAGTGTAAGCGCGTGCGCAAGAATTTGTGTTTGGTGTGGTTTGGATTTTCTGAGTGTATGTAGATGCTGTTTTGTTTGAGCAGATATTGTCAGAATGATATGTTTGTCTAGCCTGCAGTGGGGTACTCTATAGCGAGTACAGCCCGAATTAGGGTTTGCATATATGTACTCAACTGCCTGCTAGTGAAAACTCCTCTTTGTTGTTTCTCGTTTTCGCCTGCTATCTTGACATGCTATCAGAGCAGGTCGACCCTCCTGGGTCGATCCTGTGGGTGGTCCCGCCCGATGCTTCCGCTGCTGTCTTGTGTGTCGCGCGCCCCGTGGCGCGCGACGGATTTTTCTTCCCGCCACGCGCTCGGGGCGCGTGGCGGTTTTCTGCTCGCCGCGCGTACGAATCGCGCGGCGGTTTTCTGCCCGCCGTGCGCCCCGAGGCGCGCGGCGGTTTCCTACCCCGTCGACCGTCGAAGCGCCCCCCGTCGCCCGTCGAAGCGCCCCTGGGCCCCGCACGGGCCGCGCGCGGCACGTACGACCTGCGCCAGGCCCGCGCGCGGCCCGTACGGGCTGCGCCAGGCCCGCGCGCGGCCCGTACAGCCCGCGCCAGGCCGGCGCGCGGCCCGTACGGGCTGCGCCAGGCCCGCGCGCGGCCCGTACGGGCTGCGCCAGGCCCGCGCGCGGGCCGCCAACGGCCTGCGCACGCCGTCCCCCGAGCTGCTGACCGCGCCCCACCCCTGCTGCTGCCCGCGCTCCTGTTTTAGGGTTTGGGGGTGGAGAGTATGGGGGTGCCGTGTGTGTGAGCCGTCCCCTGCTCCTCCTCCTCCTCCGTCTCCCACTGCTGCAGCTGCCGCTGAGGGGGGTGGATGTGTTGGAGCCGTCAGAGTTGTACGAGGGGGGTGGCGTGTGAGCAGTGCTAGAGGTGCAGCAGGGGGTGTGTGACACGGGTGTGGGACAGCTGGGGGAAGTTGAGTGGAGGCAGTCGTCTTGTCGTCCGCAGCGCCTGAAGTCCAGAGAGCCACGACCCCCTGTGGCCTGAGTAGTCCGGGGCTCTGCGCCCGGTAGCCACAGTGTGAGCACTCCTGGTAGTCCAGAGAGCCACGACCCCCTGTGGCCTGAGTAGTCCGGGGCTCTGCGCCCGGTAGCCACAGTGTGAGCACTCCTGGGAGCACAGAGAGCCAGCTGCGCCTGTCGCCGTGTAGTCCGGGTTTAGCCTGGTAGCGACAGTTCTGCGCACTCCTGTTGCCCGTGTGTCTGCAGCTTCAGCCGTCGCCTCCCATCTTCTCGCCCCACAGTTTCTCCTCCTCCTCACTTGCCCTCTGTGATAGTCTCTAGCTTTGCTTATAATTGTGAACTACTGCTCTGCCTGCTTGTTGTGTTGATTGTACCCCACTTTGACTATGGGGGTGTGTCAGAATGATATGTTTGTCTAGCCTGCAGTGGGGTACTCTATAGCGAGTACAGCCCGAATTAGGGTTTGCATATATGTACTCAACTGCCTGCTAGTGAAAACTCCTCTTTGTTGTTTCTCGTTTTCGCCTGCTATCTTGACATATATCTGAATTGACTTCTCTGCTGAATAACCTTCCGACGAACCAAGAATCGTCGCGATCGGAGCACGGACGAGAAAGTTACAACCTATCGAAGTTCGAATGTTTTTTATAATCGGTTGCGGTGACTTAGGAATTTTTGGAGTGCTTCTCTATGAGGTATAGACTCTTCGGGGTTGGAGAAATATGTAGATGTTGCCAAGTGGTTGAGAGAAGCCAAACCAG